TATGTGTTTTTACATAAAAAATTTTTTATCAGTTACATTATATTTAATAAAGATATTATTCTAATACAGGAAGAAGAATCGGAATTAAATAAGCCTGCATTGTATGCCAGTTACAAAATTGCTCATCTTATTGCACGTGAATCACGTCCATTTAGCATTGGTCCAATTGTCAAACAATGTTTAGAAATTGCTGCAGGAACAATATATCCTAATGATATTAATAAATTTAAATCAATTAGTCTCTCTTCTCGAACTGTAATACGTCGCATTGAAAAATTAGCTGAAGATCTCGAGCGACAATTGGTACTAAAAGCAAACAATTTTATTGCTTTTTCATTAGCTCTCGATGAGAGTACTGATATCGTTGATATTGCACAATTGGCAATTTTTATTCGTGGTGTGAATAGCAACCTCTCTATTACTGAGGAATACTTTTAAATATAATATCTCTGAAAGGTACTACGACTGGAGAAGATATATTGTTTAGCGTTGAAGAAGCAATAGAAAACATAAATCTATCTTGAGATAAATTAATTTCTTAAATTAAGTTGCTACTGATGGTGCTGCAGCAATGATTGGACACAATATGGGCTTCGTAGGACGTTTAAAGTCTAAACTAGCACAATCAAAGAAATACATTCGATCTATTGTATCATCAAGAGGCATTATGTGCAAAATCTTTAAAGTATGATGAAGTAATGAAAATTGTAATCAAAGTTGTAAATTTTATTAGAACTACTGGATTGAATCATCGTCAATTTCGCGAATTTTTATCTTCTTTAGAGTCAGATTATACAGACATCTTCTATTTTTGCAAAACACGATGGCTTAGTCGAGGTAAAACTCTTCAGCGTTTCTTTCATTTACACGAAGAAATAATTATATTTTTAGAAATGAAAGATAAGTCTGTGCCTGAACTATCACAGCCTTCCTGGATTGCCAATCTCGCCTTTCTTGCGGATATCACTAATCATTTAAATACATTAAATTACTCTTAAGGCAAAGATAAATTAATTATTCATATGTTTGATCAAATTAGATCTTTTAAAATGAAACTTAATTTATGGATCAATCAATTTCAATCTCGACAGTTGTTGCATTTTTCAAATTTATTATCTGTTGCCATGCACATTCAAGATAAGCAATATGAAGAATATATATTCTTTTTTTATATAAATTTTATTTTATATAAATTTTTATATAAATATTTTTAAATAAATTATATAAATTTATATAAATTCACTTCAATTATTAATAATGAATTCGATTGTCGGTTTAGGGAAATATTTTAGAAGAAGACTTACTTATTTTTATGATACCTTTACTGTTGATATTAATATTGTTCCCGCAGATATACAATTAGAATTAATAGATTTAAAATGTGACACTGCTCTTAAAAATCGTTTTGATAGAATTACTGACATCGTATAATTTTATTCATATATATCTCAAGAACGTTTTCCTTGACTACATGATGCAAAAATAATGAGTATGTTTGGTTCTACATATTCATGTGAACAATTATTTTCTATTATGAAATTAAATAAATCACGATTATGCGACAGTTAACAGATTCACATTTAAATGCAATAATTCGTTTAAGTTGTGCCAAAACGATAACATCTGATATATCGTATATAATGTCGGAAAACTGAATATGAATCAAATATTGATTAAATGTTATAAGAGTTGCTTACTTAATATTATTGTAAGAATGGTTTATTTAAAATATAGATAGTTACTAATTTATGCTAATTCTGAGTCTGAATTTGTGCAACACGATATTTTTTTACTCCTTGAATAGCACGTTCAACGAATAAACGTTCCTGCTATCCCCTCTCCTCACTTTATTGCGTCTAGCTGCCTAATGCTAGCCCCAGCGCACTCGACTGTTGCCCGTGGGTATTGAGCACCCGCGAGCAGTGCTCACTTGCCGACCTCTTGCGGTAGGCGATTAGAACAAGTCGCTCACGTGTTAAGGTTCTCGAAATGAGATCAACGTCACATTGCAACACTATAGCGCTCCCCTCGAGAACGGTGAGAACGTTGGTCCGTTAATTCGAATCAAAGAATTCAATCCTTCTAACTCGGGACCTTGTGCGATCTTCGATTGCTGGAATGGTCGAGGTCTTAATTTAAGTGAAAAACACGAATTTTATTCTTAACATCGAATTTTAATTAAAAATAAAATAAAATAAAACAAATACAATATTACGTAATTTTACAAACAAATTAGAGTAAAAGTTCATTGAAAGTTACATTAAAAAAAAAAAAATATAATAATATTATAGATTGACTACATAATATTACATAGTATTACAAACAAATCTGTGTAAAAGTTCGTTAGAAGATACGTACAAAAAATAAAAATAAAAATAATAATAATAATAACTTATGATTAATGTTTTAAGTAACGAATGTAGTTATTTCTTTGTGTGTGTGTGTGTGTGTGTGTGTGTTTTGAGGATAAAGGGGAAGAAGAAAGGTGTGTGTAAATTTAACTGAGATTTTAATAGTCAATGGAGGGAATATCTTAATAAAAAAAAGAAAGGCAGGGACTAGAAATGGATGAAGAACTCCGGGGATTAATACAGTGATGATATTATCAGGACGGTTCGTAGTTACAAAATTTCGGAATTCGATTAGATTGATGATATTGGGATCTATAATGAATCTGTTTCAGGAGAGAGAGTCTCGGTGGTTACGGGGAATTGGGATAAGATGTCTTGGAACGTGAGTTCTTCTCCGAAGAATACCGGTGGTACTGGTGGAACTTCTCCAACGAATTCCACGCTCGATGTAGAACTCGCAGGTGAAGGTGGAGTTTCTGGACGAGATGGCGACGAAACGCGAGGCTCGCGTATTGAGATTCGTGAAGATGAGGGAGAGGTTCTTCGGAGAACGAAGGACGGAGTGCGAGGCGTTGAGACTCGCGATAGTGAAGGGGAAGAAACACGTATCGTAGGTTCTTTTACTAGAGAAACGCATAATCCGGCCTTGGACGATAGCGAGGTTCCGACGCTAGGGTTGATAGAATGAAGGAATTCTCGGTAAGTCTGATCTAACAGGCTTCGCGTTCGCTATTTAGCCTCCTGCCGTAGACGCCTTATGATTTTGCTGTTAACTCGTTGGTTGTTCACTATTAAATTTTGTGAATGTTTAGATTGAGTTGTGAAGATACGAATCGCGGAAGGAAACCGAAAAAGGGAATGAAAAATTTGACTTACTTTTGGATGTATTGTGATGATGGCACTCCATCGGAACACACTCACTGGATTAAAATTGTGAAATAAAATTAAAAAAAAACGTTCGAGAACTGCAGACAACACGGGCGAAGTTCCAAGGAGCACGGTGAAAATTCGGGATAGCAGAGACAGAGAGATCCGGTTGGAGTTATCGTTTATATAGGGTTTTTTGGAGGGACGGGGAGGTTCTAGGGTGGTCTTTACACCTAATCAAATTTTTGGATTTTAGGTTTTAATGGCCGTTTAGCGTATTAAAATTAACTTATCTGCTAAAGTAGTACATATCGCGAAAAATACTTCTCGGCCTTTCTGGATTGGTTAAGTCTCCGCCCCGAGGGGGAAAAATAAATTTTCGGTTTTGCAAATAAGATAAAAAAGGTTTATGACTTTCGTTACATGATGGAATTTTGATTAATTATTACTCTATGTTATAAATCCGCTAGATAAATTTTTATCTTTATTAGGCTTTCTCGGTGCCGAGAATATTTGTTTAAGAGAAATAAGCAATATAGTTTTTCACCGAGGAACCTTCGAGATTGTTCGAGACCTTTCAAAATGGTTCGAAAGCGAGGAATCATGGAGTACGTAAGACGTAACACATAAATGAATCAAGTTTTATTAATTATAACTCGTTAGTTATACAAAACATCTCAGATAGCCAAGTGTAATATAGTATATTGAGTGAACTAATGCATTGCATGTGTTGCTATATATTTGCCATATATTTGCTGACATCGAAATAGGATACGTAACGAATACAACAATATACCTGTTTATGGATGCAATCAGTTGACGAATTTTAAGAGCAAACGGTCAGCAATAGTAATGTTATGTATAGTAATATGTTATCAGCAATATATCAATAACATGTCACCAACAAATGATTAATCGTTTTATCTTAAGCATCATGATGAAAACATGACGACAACAAAACATATATAATGATTTCCATCCGTTGTTACATATATGTCTTCAAACATGAAAATTTTTAATTGTAGTTCAATGCTAATAAAGTGTTGATAATATCACACGTTTATGGCAACTTTTCAACAAAAAGACATATAGATTTCGAGATTTATATACAAATTGTAAATATTCATTTCTAATTATAGTTACAAATATACTATGGCGACTCGCGGGAATCGCGCACCGCGTGCCACGTAGGAAGAGATAACTTTCTCATAATTAGAATCAATTACCAAATGATATATCTAGGCGAACATTTGCCGATTCAACTCACACTCAATCTCGAGCTCTTTGCGCTGGCAGAACTAGAGAAAGGATTTTTTGTCCGATGACTGAGAAAGTCGCTTCCTCCTCCTCGCCGACCGAAAGGTTGCTCCTTCTTCGCCGATTGCAAAGTGGCCTCTCATCAATCGTAAGATCGCTTCCTCGTCGACCGCAAGATCGCCTCTTCGCCGACCGCAAAATCGTTTCCTTGTCAGCCGCAAGGTTACTTACTGCCGCCGACCGTAAGGTCGCCTTCCGTGTCGACCGAAAAGTCGCCTCCTTCAAGTCGACTGAAACACGTCACCATTCCTCTCCCAGAGCACATCTTTTCGGCGCGAAGGCTCTCGCGCCACAAAAGGAAACTCATCCGGATCTCTTCGGGGAACGAAACTCCTTCTCTGCTGTCGGCTATCCTCTTTCGATGAAGCGGCAGAACTTCGTAGAGCATACCTCCAGATTTTCCGACAAATCCCCGATGCCGGCGAAGTGACGAGCATCAAGAGACGATGGGGACGACGAGGAGGAAAGGATTTAACGACTGCAGCAGACGGATAGAGATGCAAGATACAATCCAGGATCTATTGCATTATCAACCAATCCGAGAGAGGATTTAGAGGATACATACATACGGCAGACATGACGGCAGTTGACTCGGTG